ACCGTGAAGCTGTTCTTCAGCTCCCCTGAGAATAAATCACGTAAGCTCGTACCACGAGCAGATGTTACCTGGTCAGCATACTTAGTAAAAGCTCTGTCATTAGGACCGTGTGTCTGCTAGTTCAGGTCACTTACCCTTTCACACATCACTGTCTCTTCTCTTCTCTCCTTCAGCCCTGTGAGTGGACACAGTTTAGGTAACCAGGCTTACGGCGTACGGTCCACAGGGCTTATGGTGCATATGGGACAATGCTGGCACAGGGTAATAGCTAGTAAAGTATTGAGTCTTTTTTTTCCTGTTGCATTTTAAAATTAAATACTCATTTAGATTCCCCAAAGCGTAACGCAGCTTTTTACTGTTAATGGGCAGGCGTGCAGGTGGCGTGCCCGAATGCTAATAGAGCAAAGTGACAAAGGCTTGCGCTGGTACGGAGCAACAGCGTGGAACAGGGAAGTGTGGAAGTCAACCCAGTAAACCTATTATTTCATTCAGGGTAAGATTGATCTTGAAATGCTTTTGAGCACAGAATTAAGTCAAATGGACTCCAGGTATTTTTCTAATATCCAAGACAGATGTGTTTCAGTAACGATAGCTACTTAGTTATCCAAGCGACTGGCAGGATCTTACTGTGATACAATAAAGCTCTTGGCAGTACAGATGAACATACAAGTTCTTTTTTCCTGATGGCATCTTTCCAATAAGCAGTATTTTTTACTAATCACTTGGAAAGTTAACAAGATTCTTCCTTTTGACCTTTTCACATCTTCTGTCCAGAGCTGCTCTTTTTCACCTGTTGACAGAGTAGGTAATATAGTCTGACATAGAAATCACTGAAATATCACAAGTTGAATACATTATAAGGAATGAGTTCTAAAAAAATATAATTTTTCTCTCGAGTGCTGTTTCCTTATCTTTAGAAATAAACATTAAATACTTAATATCAAATAGAGATTTCAGTTCATCAAGTTGTTTGAAGTCTTCCTAAAACTTAGGAGTGATGCAACAAAGTAATGAAAAAAAATGTGATAATATCAAAGAGACAATCCGGTATCAGGACATATTTTTTAATAAGAATTTTGTTGCAGTTATTTTTGCACAATTTAGTAGATCTTTTTCCCTATTCTCTTCATCTCCACTACAGTTAATAATTTTGGGACATTAATACCCAGTTGCGTTTTTATCTTAGCTTTTGAAATAATAAGAAGCTTGACAGGAAGGGACCTCAAAAGAATATTTAGTCCTTGATTTCTCATTTGCTTATAACTGAGAAATCACTTTAGCGTTTTGGAAAAGCTTGCCTTATTGCTATTGCCAGATGAGGGAACTAAGAAAATACCTTAGGTAAACAAAATAGTAAAACTAGCCATTTTTTAACTTGTCAATTACACCGAGTTGCATTAAATTGTATTTTAATTATCGTAGAAAATAATAAAAAGCACTGATGTTCTCTTTGGATTTGCATCTTTCAAAAGGACAGGTAGCAATAGCACTTGGGAATTTGGAATTAATTCTCATGTCTCTCGGGCTGCAGTGGTCTTGGTATGTAGGTTGAGTAACTAATGACTGTCTCAACTACAGTCAACACTTAATCAGATGAAGGAAAAGCTTTATAACACAATGAATGTAAAAATATATGGTGCGTGTCTGTCTAGTATATGGATAAGATATTTGTGAGTTAGGGTAGAAAAGCATAGTACTTCCATGTACGAAAAATGTAGACTTTTTTTAAAAAGCAGAGTTAGGATGTGACTTGGTGCAATTGCTGTGAGTTCTGCATTACATACTACAGCATTTAGGTACTGACAGAGTTTTATTATATGAAGGTACATCTTGGGTAACCAAACAAATGATAGTTATCTGTCTACCTGTCTTTGAAAACCTCCAGTGATTCCATAGGTTCTCTATGCCATTTTTTAACTGTATGTAACAGTTAGGCTACAGATTAGGGGGGGAAAAAAGCCATTTTCTTGATGCAATTAAAACCTATTGCCTCTTGCTCTGTACTTAGTGAATATGAAGAGCAATTACTGTATTTTTATTTTGGTTAATTATATATATTTGGAAATTCTCCATCATCTTTTTGAAGATAAGTCCAATTCTCCCAATGTTTTTCTTATATGCCGTATCATTAATGTCCCATCATTTTTTCTCCTCTCCTCTGAGTTCATTCTAGTTATTCAGTGTATTTTTTAAAATGTGAGTCCCAAATACAGACACCATAATTAAGCTTAATTTTCATTAGTGCTCAGTAGAACAGGAAGACTCTTATGTATTTTTTCTGTGAAGTTACTGATTATACATTCAAGTGTGATAGTTTGCTGAATTGCTTTTACAATAGCATGACATTTTGACCATTTCTGGTTTGAGAATCGCTAATTCTTTACAAGTATATGTGAATATATGTGCTTGGATACACACACACACATTTTCTGCTACTGATCTTGTTATGGTTTAGGTGCTTATAGGTGAATTTATTTATTTATGCTCAAATAATTCTGGGGAAAATGAAGGCTGGCTGGCTAATAGCTTTGACTTTTTATCCTTTATAAAGACAGGTACTACACTTTGTTCTCCATTCCCTGGAACTTTACCCATCCTCTGTGACTTCTGAGAAATTAATACTAGTAACTGGTGGCTGCTGCTAATTTCTGAAATACTCCAGTGTTTTTCTTCAGGCCCACTTAGTTTGGAAGCATCTACTGCATTCAAGAAGTGTCTAAAATAATAGGAAGCTGACTCAATAGTAGTCTTCCTCTGTTTTTCAGTGATTAAGGAGCCCAGTGTTAATATCATCAAGATTTTTTTTTTTTATAGTTAACGTATTGAAAGTAAAGGAGAATGAACATACATGCCTAGACCTACACTCATTTTAGTAGAAATTTCAAGTCGAAATAGGTAGTTAATTGTAGGGAGGTATTTATATCTGTTCCCCATTGGGAAAAGTTTCCCTGTCACGCATACGTTTGAAATATAACATGCTAAATGATTGTCTCTCTTTGCATGCTGAGAAGTCAGTGTAATTTCCTAGTGATCTGATATCACTCTCATATATTGGTCTAGCAGTTCTTGATTTACATTCTAATGCCTCATCTGTCATAACCCACACATCAGAACTGACCTCCAGGCTCATGGCAACATTTGGACATTTGCAATTTATTCTTTTCCCCGAGATGAGTAATTTAGCCACTTTGCCACAGATGCAGAAACTTCCTTTAAAAAAAAAAAAAAATTGAAGGGAGCTACTGTAAATGTTTTTCCTGATGCCAACTGGGAGTTCAGCAGTATCCATTTGTACCACAGAAGGTTATTAAAGCTTTATAAATGAGTCATTTAAAGCTTGACTGACCTCTCTTCAGAATCCTTCTCTTCCCATTCTTTATAATTACATTCTTTCTATATAAAACTTGTCATCATTAACCAACTATATAACTTCCAATTAGGAAGCAAAGACTGTTCCCCCATTCTTTTTCAAGATACAGTTTTATTAAGATCTGTTCAGTGAAAGGGAAGGTTTTCTTTGTGTGGTAGTGAAAAGCCTACAGAGTGCATCAAATTTGGTTTAAATTTGTTGGAATCCTAATAAGCAGAACCTGATCTGCAAGCTGAAGGTCTGCAGAGGGATTTATCTTGATAAAATAAGTTCATAGGAGGCCCTTAGCTCTCTCCTGTACAAGTGCAATTCAGATGGAACAGATGAAATTTAATTAAATTACCAGCTCATCTCAAAGCAAGGGCTTTTCCTTTTTTAATTTTCTTTCTTGATCTTATCAAGAAAATTAATGAATAAGAATGCAGTGGAACTACCTAGATAATGGATGTAACATGCCTCTTGGTTAAGCTATTCTTGTATCTTAAGCAGAAACTGAAAATTAATCTTTAGGGCTACAGATTTAGAGAGAATTGCCTGTATTGGAATTTTGTGTTGGGCACTGTTGGCATATGTATGTTGGCACAATGTAACAGAAAAATGCTAATTTCCCATCGCAGTGGGAATATGCATACATCTTTTTGTTGGAGATACTAAGCTGCGTTTTTTGGTCATGCAGGGTTGCTTCCGATAACCCTTGATGCAGAAGAGCTTGGGTTGTATCAGGCAGATTTCAGACATAGGTGGAAGGTTTTCACTTGCCTCTTTGTTCTGAGGTGTGAATTTTGTCCCCCATGATGAAGCCACGATCCCATACAGCTTTTCCTGTGCTGTAACAGCTATCAGCAGGTTAACAACTTAGTTGTGACTGTAATGTAGTCAGCAGCCAACATACACTACTCCACTCTGTCAGGGCAAAGTCACTTCTATTCTTCTGTCTACTGCCGTGAAGTCCAAGAGTTTTCCTGTCTATCTTAGACCTAGTTCTTTGATGGATTGTTCATTTGCCCTATCAAATCACCTTTCAGAACATGTGCTGAACAGCATCTAACACCTGCAGGATAGATGGCATCAGTGATCACTCCTGTAAGTCTTTGCCCTCTAATGGTACTGATTTTTCTGTCCTTCACAGGTAATTTTACCAGTATTATTGTTCGTGGTTTTCTCTTGTCAGTTGTGTCAGACTCAAAATTATACTGAGTCCTTTTCAAGGTAAATGACACAGTAAACCTGAGAAATCTTATAGGACCATACTACCTGAAATATTGCATCCTCAGCTTTTGAAAGTTGAGCATCGTTCCTTTTGAATCAGATTCCAAGATGATATTCTAGGAAGAAATGTGGTGGGGCAGGAAGCTCTCTGTTACATTAGTGTTAAGTAATACCTAGTGAAAGAAGACTGGGGTTTTAATTTCTTAGCACAAAGAGGCAAGATGAAAATGATCAGTTGAAGTAAACAACTTAAAAGAAAATAAATATCTTTTAGACAACAGAATTGGTGGTTGTTAAGGATGCTGTATTGTACTTGAAAGGGGTTTGCAGAGTGGCTGCAGTTTTATGTTGCTGTTACCAAGATGCAAGTAACAGCTTGGTAAGTATTATGTGGTGCATTCCTCCTCTATCTGTTTTGCAGAGAGGAGTCAGGATAGCACTGCCGCGGTGCTGTCTGACTCCAGTTCCACGCAGGATATGTTTAATGAGCCTGCCAGTTCTCAAGACAGCCTGAGGAAGACTTACACAGAGAAGAGGATTTCTACTACCTGTGCTGATACACTGATGCCCAGCAAAGAGACCCTGGGATCTGCAGAGGATAAGAGTATGTCTGATTTAATAGATAATGTCAGCTGGGGTATTCTCATTAGAATGTTTCTTCTGGCCTGCAGAAGCACTGAAACACGCTGCACTGTGACTGAAAATTTTAACTCGGTGTTACTGCTGTGGGTATGTGTGTAGCTTAAAACTGAAACTGTGGTTTGCTTATGTGGTCGTCATCCTACTTTGTACTACCTGTTAAACCATACAAAGAAAAGAATAATGATAAACTACTGTCTGTTGTGGCCCTTTGACTGGCTTGCCTTCTCTTAGGTTATTATTCACTCTTTCTTCAATGTTTCAAATCTCTAAACAATTTAAGGAGTAGTTATTTGAAGACAGTCTCAAACAAAACATTTTTTCTTTTCCCAAGGTATAGAGGTATAGATACCCTTTGTGTTCTGGCCCAGTAACAGCTTGAAGTGTTCAAGGCCAGGCTGGATGAAGCTTTGAGCAACCTGATCTAGTGGAAGGTGTCCCTGCACATGGCAGGGGGGTTGGAACTAGATGATCTTTAAAGTCCTTTCCAGCTCAAACCATTCTATGATATTCGGTGCATAGAAAAGCACAAGTAGTGGAATTGGATGTTTTATTCCATTGGGTGCTTTATTTCAGAGAAGTGGAATTGCTCTCTACCAAACTTTTCCGTATGTTAATAGTAGTAAGTGTTCTGTATTCCACTGGAAAAATTGTTTCAAAATCCATTAGCTGGAATTTCTGTGTCTGATGTTTGTACAGTTGCATGTGGCAGTAGATAGATTTTTTTTTGGAAAGACAAACAAGACCAATGTATAAATTTTGCCCACTTTTCTGGGTTGTGGAACTGGAATGTTGTATTTTTCCATAAAGCTCTCTGTGGAGTAAAATTATAATGGATACATAGATTGTCCCAAGCACATTTTGGAAAATTTGTGTTCTGGAAATCATGTTTGACTCAAAGGAGAAAAGGTTAAGGAGCAGCTTCATACTTGAGGATGGAGTATACTTTAGTATAGCTTGCTAGGAGAGAAGATCTAGTGTAAGAGGCTCTTCATCCTAGCAAAGACAAAGACACAGTAAACTTCTGTAACTAAAAATCAAAGTTAAAAAAATCAATCTGCATGTAGCATGCATGTTTTCAGCAATAATGGCTACCTAACAAGAAATGTGAAAGCTTCCACTAAGATGTTTTCTGAAGTAAGATTCAGTATCCTTCAAGAAAAGATGGGTCAATTGAACGATGAGTTACCAAGTTAATCGCAAAAACGTTTGGATAAAACTGTAGGTCCTGTGTTATCCAGAAGGCCAGGTTAGCTGCTGCTAATCATTCTGTCCCAGCCTAAATTGTTTTCTGAAATTGTGTTCCTCTAGGTGGGTTGTTAAGAGTAATACATTTCACTCAGCAGGATGGCTTTAATTTGCTGTTCCTTCTTCCTTTCTTTGCAATAGAATTCTACTGAATTTACACTTTTATTTTATCATGTTCCCCCTTCCTGCCATCTTCCAACAGTATATCAAATCCTTCATTGTGTAAGGTGTGCTGAATTCTTAGTATTGCTCAGGGAAAAACCCAAATGGAGAGATCAATGTTTGGCTCTGTCTGTTAATGAGCTGAAGATTACTTATTCATTAAACATCAGGAATAGTACCACTCAATATTTCTGTCTTTGCTTTAATGGAGAAAAGGATTACCATTTGTTGTATCTAATTTTTGTCATTTTGTGTATTTCATTTGCCATTTTGTAATTTTTATTGTAATTTTTGTCTTCTCTTAATGTTCCAGTTGCAGGAAAGTCAGAAGAGCTGCTGGAATGCTCAGAGTCTTACCATCCTGCTGAGCCCACTGGCCAGAAAATTCTGGTGGATCCTCAGTCTGCTTCTGGCAATCCCATCAAAGCTGCAGTCCCCCCACCCACACAGTGGGACTGCAAGAAGAAAGCTGAACCTTGTGGAGATGCATCTGAATTTCCTCATGGTCTTCCAGCAGACCTGGAGGAGCAGCGGAAGTTCCTGACAGAGCAGTGTATTGCCTCCTTCTGTTTGTGTCTCAGCCGCTTTCCCCAGCACTACAAGAGCCTCTACAGACTGGCGTATCTGTACACTTACAGCAAGACCCACAAGGTGAGCAGACTGGTGATGTGGTGCTGACTAACTCTGTGTGTTGCCCAAGGAAACAAACCGTATTGTCATTTTACCAATTTCGAAGTCTTGGTGTTAAAATACAGCAGATAAGTTTGTTTAATGCAGTTTGGATTGGAACTGTGCTTTGGGAAGTCTTCAGTTCCTGGAGTGTCTGATTCATGCGTGTGAGGCCAGATAAGTTGAAAATTTCTTGTTTTATTACTGAACTAAGTAATTTTTTGTCATTCTGCAGAGAATTACCTTTTAGATATGTCACAATAAATTAAGATGTTCTTGTAAAAATGTCAGCAATTATTTTCCTGAGTAAGTGGACTGAAAAGTGACTTGGAAGCAGAAATTAATCAGTATTGGTGCAAACACATCATGTGAGACAGACTTTCTGGCTATCTTGAGTCTTTGTGTGTAGAATGAAAGTTTTCCTACTGTCAGAGCATAGAGGTCATCCTGAGTAAGACAAAATTATTTGCTGTTTAGAAATCACTGAGTGAAAGCCAGTCAGTGATGCTACTGCTCACGAGCTGGTGATTTTGGATTACACAGGAATAACAGTATCTTGGTGACTGTAATAGTATCGGTTCCTGTTTGAGGTGAGAGCAAAAGAACTTGTTTGCTCTAGCATCACCCTTGCATGTTCTTTATAATAAAATTAATTTCAAAAGCATTCTGCTATGAATTACCATTTTTTTTAATTATGTAATTCTTTATTTTACTTCTGCGTACTTCTGTTGATATAATCCTTTGTCTTTCTGAAGTATCAGTTAGTAAAACGTGTATGAATAGTAGGTTGAAATTATCAGAGTCGTTTCACTAATTGTCATAATCAAGGTTTGAGCTCACAGATTTTGTATTTGGAAGTCTTGTGTTGTGTCATATGCTGCACTGCATGACTTCCTGAATTCTTTTCCCCACCAGTACTGAAGCTTGTGTGAATAATAGGGAAGGGAAGGTAATGGAAACAAATCATGCTCCTTGCCTCAGATAGAAAACATATTAACAGGACTGCTGCGAATTGAACAAGTAGTGTATCTTAGCCATCTACTGAAAGATGATGAATATTCCAGTTGGCTGTATGGTGATTATCCAGAAAAATAGTACCCTTTTTTTAAAGACAGCTTGTTTTGAAAACATTCCTTTGCTGTTTGTATGTGACAGTTGTTAATTTTTCCATGGAGCTAATCGTTAATAGGAGCCATAGATTCCTGCAATCTGTCATTACTGTTGCTGACAAATGATTTTGTATCAACATTCAACAAAAAAGGCGTCCTGTTTTCAATTTATTGGTTCAAATAGCATGTCCTTGCCTGAGGAACTACTTGCAAAATATTTTCTTCTGTTTTTTTTTTTTCCCTGATGAAGCCTTCTCTTTTGCTTTTTGTGTCTCTCTTCCTATATAAATGTCAACTTAGTGATATGTAATGTTTTTCTGTATGAAATGCGTATTGTTGTCTAAATCTGTCTCCTCTTGGAACTCAAAAAAACTTGAATCCTGCCTGTTTGAGCCTAGTAGTTACCAGGTTGGCTTCAAGAAGCATTGTTGGCTTTACTGTCCCTTTTTATTACTTCTCTGGATAACTAACGACAACTCAACACTGCCAAAAAACCCTCTTCCTACTGATATACGTGTACTACATAGTTTCAAGAGGTTGTAATTTTCTTTCTTTGATGACTCATTCAGGTTCTTTTGTAGAGCAGTGTCAAATGTCTGTGTTTTAATGGTACACGAATATGTCTTCAGTGAGAGTTACACTCCTGAACAAACTTAAACCACAAAATGCATCTATGCATTTTCAGCAATAACTGGAGTAAGAAGTATGCTTGGATATACTGGTGATAAGCCTGATTTAAGAAATGAGATAAATTACATCAGGTTGAGATGCTGTGGGGGCGGAGTGGATTATTGGTAAATTTTAGAAAGCTGAAATTAATTTTTAAATGCATATAACCATCTTGGAAAATTCAGCATTTATGTACCAGTGCCAGGAATTTGTATGAAGAATTTAGACTGATGGCCAAAATTCATGGTTGGCTGGGAAAGGAGAGGATTGGCAGGTCTCCATAGTGCGTAGAAAAACAAGTTTTCCATATGCAATCTGTTTTCTCCCATTTTACAGTATTATCGGTTTTGCTGTTGCAAGATTAGTAAAAATAGTTGTTGAGTGCTTTTTTTAACATCCTTTTCAAAATCTTTCAACATTTTGTTTGGCTTCATGTTTTGTTTTTGTTTTTTTCCCCTGCAAAATCCTGCTTACTATTTGAAGGCTCTTTCTCGTTATTTTACTCTGTTATCAAAGCAAATTTGTACATAGCTGTTTCTTGTTGGAATAAACGTGCAGGAAAGTAAGGATGCATTTTCAGAAATTACTTCATTCCAGTTTGGGCAGCAGTTTTAGTTTCCCATTCATTTTGTCTCTGTCTTGAAGTAAAGTCTGCATCTTTTGTGATTTTTGCCTCCAAAATGAGTGTTGGCAGAGTTTGGAAGGAGAAGATAGGACTTGGCAAGATGCTGTTCGTCAGTATAACTAAAAAGTTTTGTGAAAGTGTTTGCCTTATGGTCCTTATGGATCAGTATGTAGAACTGGTGTGACACTGCAGTGAGCAGATTGTCAGGAAATAAAAATATTTACTTAAGTGCTTTTTTTATCTCAAAATAAAAAACACTCTGTAAATCCTGGAAGATTCTGCTCACAGATATTATTTGTATGATTTAGGGTGTTTTTTTAAGTTTTTATATTCTATTAAGTCCATTATTATCAGAGCCCTTAATGGAGATATTAGTGTCAGGTATAACATAATATCAGTAGCATGACAGTTTAGTCAAACTAGGCATAACACATGCATGTAAAAATCACAAGATTATATATGTAGGTTTAATATATACTTCGAGACAGGCATAATCTGAAGAGTAATCGATGTAAGCATTTCTAGTTGTAACAGTTTGGTAATAACAGTTAATTCAAAAGGCTCCTCTTCAAGGTCAGTAGTCTTTATAATTTGCTTTTATTTGATGCAGTAGCACTAGGGTTTTTTGAGTCAAAGCCTTCTAACAGACTGTAAAATAAAATAGAGGGAAGGATTAAGGTGTAGTCGAATGTTTTGTACACCTCTCAGCAACACTGCATAGAGTTTCCAAGTTAGGTAAAGGTGACTTCTGACACCACCGAGTTAAGGAATATCCATCTCAGGTGACTCAGATTTCCACTTAGTTGACCATAAGAGATTTTCTTTTTCCACTTTAACAATGCTGGTAAAGTCTTTTGCAAGTTACTGTACCCTGTCAGTCATCTTCTCTTTGAGTCTCGGGGTGGTGAAGATGTGGGAGGCAACAGCTGAACTGGAAAGAGTACTTCATAATTGCCCTGAGTCAGACAGCTAAATCCAGCATTTCAGACTGGCAAGCAGTGTGCCAAGAAGCATAAATCCTTTTTGCTATGTCCTGGATCCCTTCACCTACTCCTAATAATAACTTCATCAGCTAAAAAATAAGCAGAGCAGACTCTGTGAAACAATCTAATGAGTTGAGACCTGCTCAGGCGTATTTACTGGGAATAATTGATCACGCTGATTTAAGGAGAAGGGTAGTGGAAAATCTGTAACTACATCTTTTGTTCCTATTAGTTTTGATTGTGTGAAGTTACCGTGTAATTGCCCCATTTGTCTGAATGGTCTTTTTTCCTCCTAGCTAGGCTACTGTCATCATCTTGTTCAATAAAAGCCTATGAATTATATGTGCCAAAATACATGCCTATGGATGGCCAGTATAATGTGCCAAGCAAATCACCGGAGCCTGACGCTATACGTAATGATCTTTTAACATTTTCATCATAAAACTTGGATTCAAGAATACATCCGTAGCTAAAATTTGTTTAGACTGGGATTTTCTATTTAAGCTTTTGTGGTGGTAGCTTTCTTAAGGGTTTTGTTTTTCTTTAATTTTTGTGATAGTTTTAACTGTAAGATTCAGATTGCCACATATTAGGCAATATTTCGCTACGTTTTCATACTTGGAATTTACTTAACATTTCTGATGATTATGATTGACATAAAATAAAGCATTTATGTGCCTGGATCTTGGGCGTTATGATAGGCTTATTTTTACTGGATTCTGATTTTATTCAAAACAGGATGACTTTCATGGAAGACCAGATTTTTGTAGGCTTGTTTCTGAGTTGTATTTTCTTCTGTATGTATTTCAAAGTATTTTGCAGCCTTAGGTTAACAGGACTACAGAAATATATATTACAAAGAAGTACTGTAGGAAGAAGTTGGTATACAGTTAAGGTTACGTACTTTTCTTTCTTCAGTCTTAATTAAATTTGACATTCAGTGATAATAATTAAATTTACTGGTTCCCCTGACTAGCCAAAAAGTACCTTGTGATATTTGTGAGCTAACATGTATTTGTCCCATACCAAAAGAAAGCTATCCAAATCCCCTCAACTGTCGTACACTATAATCATGAAGGTCCTGTATAAAGTACCTGTATCAGCTTTCTGAATGAAGTGTTTTTGACATCCGTAAATATCTGGTTAGTATTTCTCATGTTCAGCTCTCTTGCACATGAATCTGTAATCAGCGTTTTGCTAGAGGGGATGCTCCAATTCTGAGAAGACATTGGAGATTTCTGCATGATTACCGTCATTAGGACAAAAGCACTTACATTGAGCAGGGCTTTTGCTGTTTTACCAGTCTTGTAAAGAAAATAATTTGGAAAACAGGCTGAGAATTTTGCTTAAAACACCTCCCCCCACCTAAAAAAAAAAATTAAGAAAAAAATATTACAGCTGGAATATAGAATATAGTTCTTGGATGGACATGATTGCATCAAATTTATGATTCACGGAAGCGTATCTTCAGCCCACAGAAAACGAATCAAAATTCAACATTGTAATTTTTCTCTACAAACCAATTATCTTCCTCGTTCTTTTATCTGCTCTGCAGCAAAGTTGTCTGTGAAAAAAGCCAGTCTCATGCAACTCAAATGCTACATTCTGATACTGAAAGAATAAATGAAGTAAAGCAAAACCTCTATCAGTGAGACCTTACAATTAATAATTGTCCCATCTGTGAGGAATGTTTTGCCTGGAGCCAACAGCTGTCCCTAGTCCTCAACTACACAAGAGATGTTCATGCGTTGAACCCTTAGAGGGGCAGCGCTTTTATGAATTTTTGATTGTTGTCTATCACTTAGTCTCCTACGGATGCTTTCTTGTTAACTCGTGGAGCGCTATTAACCAAATCCGATGGCAGGCGTGGAATTTTACAGAGAGGTTGAGTGAAATTGCACAGAGGGCCATGGCTGGGTAGAGGTAAGAGGCCTGAATTCTGCACCCCACTGCAAGAAGGCTGAAGGTTAAGCCTAAAGGTGCCATTTGGGTTCGCCTGGGTGCTGGCGGGTGTGTGCCTCGAGGGTCCTTCACCCGAGGGGAGAGCTGAGGGGCCGCTGCCGGAGCGTGGGAGGTGGGAAACTGGCAGGACTCAGGGGCAGAGAGGGACCCGGCATGTGGAGAGCTGCGGGATACCCACACAGTGAGTGCCACTGTTTGCTGAGAAACTTTATCTTTTTTATTTATAAATTATTTTATACTGAGCATTAAAATTCAACTTTTACCAAAAAGTTAAGGTGTTTTTAAATATACCTGTAGTTCAGGTTTCTGTAGGTGATGGGAGATGGAAGGTACATGTCAATGAAATCAAGGTGTTTTTTTAAATAATAATTTTTTTTAAAGGCAAGAAAGCAAAACTTGATGGTAGGAGGCTGGATTCAGCAGCTGTAGGGGAGTGACTATCCGCTCTGCTGGGGCGGATCAGTCGGGATGCTTGCTCGGAGGCAGGCTGGCTTGTGTCTCCTGAGGGATGTCTTCTCCAAATCACATGCCTCTACAAGTACTGTCAGCACAGCAGCTACCTGGAAAATGAGCAATGACAATGCAGGTTAATAAATAAAAACAATCGAGCGCTTTGTATGTCTACCTGTGGTGGCATTTCCATCCCCTGCCTGCAACTCACCTGCCCCGTTTCATCCGCAGAACCTGCAGTGGGCCCGCGACGTGCTGCTGGGCAGCGGGGTCCCCTGGCAGCAGCTGAAGCACATGCCTGCGCAGGGCCTCTTCTGCGAGAGGAACAAGACGAATTTCTTCAACGTAAGTTTATGCAGCCGATAAACACACCCGTACTTTCAACACCTGTTTCTCATTTAAAAGGTTTGCAAATGGATGGTAACGTGAAATTCAGCAAAGGCACGTTACACAAGCCTGTCAAGTGGCTACAGGAAAGGCAGAATTGTATTATAGAGATAGCTGCTGGGATTTTCCTCTCTTGAAGGGAATCACATTAGAGGGATTATTTCTGATGAGCTTGAAAACACGGGGAGAGAAGCACCAACATTTCTCAGTTATGCATCATTTACCATATATTTGATGATTAAGCCCTCTATAAAAATTCTAATTATATTCATCTTAATTATCCTCTTGTTTACTGTTTCTCAACTAGACTTGCATTTCTCGTGACAAAAAAATGGTGTTAGTTGTTCTAAGAAATGTCTGGAGTTGGAAGGAGCTTTCTTATGTTCAGCTTCTGTAGCGTGGCTCAGCAGAAAGAGTACTTCCAAGTCCCACAGTGTAGTAGCAGCACTGTCGTATAGGCTTCGAATGTGTGGCAATAACCTGGAGATGTTCCCTTTGTCTTTCTGGACTATGTATCTGTTATATGATCACCTGTGATTGCAGTGACAGAATTTTATGTCTCTGCTTTCCCATCCAGTGCTTCTGTTTTAATATTTTAATTAGGAAATTTATTTCCATTCTATATCTATTAACATCTATCTTCATTTTTGCTGTATGTTGTGTTAATTAGCACCTCTGCAAATTTCTGTTAAGTATAAGTGCCTGCTCCTCTCTGATTATAATCTCTCAGCTGGGTTGAACAACTGAGGAATACTGACAGTGATTCAAAATTGTATTATGCATCAGTTTGCAAAAAGAGCTTCTTTGTCATTCTGTCTTTCTGGATAGAAGTTTTGATTAACAAATACTGTCAGTCTGATAGGGTATAGACCAAACAGTTGTGACCTGATTGATGGCTGCATGGCTTTGTTCTGGTTATTTCCCTGCAATATCTGCCTGCTTTCTGTACAAGAATCCTGCAGTGTGATTAACTCTTCAAACTGGTGAATACTTTGGCTCAGATCCAGCTGATGCAGGTATTCTCATAGAAGTTAATGAAATTATTCAACATACTTCAAGTCGAGTGTGAACTTTGCATGATCAAGGCTGCCTTGCTCATCATTGCAGGGTTAAGTGTCAAGAGTATCCTGTGTTTTCATGTATGAAGAAAATGAGCAGTAGGGAACTGAGCAGTGATTATAAGGGAGTGTTTCTACCTGAAAATGTGAATTATCACATTAAGAGAGATCAGTGGTTGACCTAAATCATGTCTAGTTTTTGAATGTTAACGCTAGGTAATTTAATTTAAAGACAGATTTCATTGTATACCTAGGTGGATGGTTCCAATGTTACTTCAACAAACAATTATTCCTTATTCCACATATTGATCTTTTTATACTCTGAAGGATGAAAAGTGCTAGTAGAGATATTAGACAGCTGTATAATAACTCTGTTTTGTAAATTAACAAAAACTTAATTCCCATAATTTAATATTATTATCTTCAGTAAGAAATTAAATATGCTTTCAAATAAAATATAACCTTCAACAAAAGGTATATGCTAGCCCAGTGCAATATATTGGCAAGATTGTTAGAAAAGAGAGAAGATGTGTGAAAATCATATTCTCAGCCTGAACTTGGGTCTGCTGACAGATAAATACAATGTTAGTCTAGAGTCCTCCACGTAGACCACTGCTTCCAGGCTTGAGAAATTTCAGTTTTGGGACTCAACTGCAGTGTGTCTTGCTATGGTGGTAGCATAACTAGCATATGGAGTGCCTCAGACAGCACAACAACTCGTTGAGGCCTTTGTGAATCTGTGCTAACATCTCGACTTATTCCTGCATGCATGTAGCTTAGTCTTGCTGTTAACAGGTACAGTATACATTATGAGTTTAGCACGATAAAATATTTTGGTGGTCTCATCTTCTACCCAGCTATATTTTCAAAATCCTCTTCAAGTAACACACTGTGTGGAACATGTGGCAGTAATCCAGTACAGATGACACAGACATAGCACAGTGAGAAAATCCAGATCCGAGAGAGAAATGGCTGCAAGTGCCCATGAAAAAAAAAGCTGTTAGTGTCATCTGACATTCCAGAATTGGACAAACCTAAATCTGTGAACAACTTGGGGGAAAAAAAAACAACTCTGAACACTGCGTTGACCTTGTCTGAGTTAAACCTCAACTAGTTTGTTCTCATGCGAAGCGCCGAGCCAGGCAGTGGGTAAGCAAACGTACTGCACCATCTGGGTCAGCGCTCAGAATACAGTCTTGTGTGTCATCCATTGCATACAGATGGTGTTGCAGCCCACTGTCCCAGCTAGTGTCTTCACATACAGAGCCGGGTGATAAAACAGAAATTCTAGAGCTCTACAAAAGTAAGTAGTCACATCTAATCTTAGAAATTAAATGGCCAACCTTAAGATTTTCTGAGCTTATTAATGTTCTCCAGGGTTGTTTTCAACAGAAACGCTTTGCTTAAAGTGTTTATTTGCTTCCACGTAATTCAGTTTGGTTTTATTTTTGAGAACTCTTTGGCCTTCATGATACAAAAGAGTTAAATGAATGTCTAAGTGTCTTTCTGTAGATAGTTCACTGTTGAAATACCTTTTTCTTCTGGAGCACGTAACACTAGTGTTTTTAGTCTCTTGTACAGAAGAGTCAGGGTTGTTGAAATTACAGCTGACTCAATTTTACAAGTACAAACAACAGTGTGTGAGAGAGAAAGCTAGCAGGTCAAAGACAAGTAGGGACTCTGCCAGCCTGCTCCTCCCAGACATTTAATAAATCATGCATACTCCTAGTAGAATTATTTATGAAATGTTTATGACAGTACTGTATGAAAAAGAAATAAACCTGGGTAAAGCTGTCTCCTGTTAAATTTTACTGCAGAACTGCTGGCCTGAATCTGTGTCTCATGGTCTGTTGTCTAATTTGTTAGCTGTCACTCAGCTGTGACTGAAATCTCTTTGAATTTATTTTTTACTGTCTTCAGAATGAGCAAAAAAGGAATATTCACTTAGCACTGATTTCTTCTTACTTGACATATTAGAATAATGTCAGGATGCACAGAACTTTCCTTTTCAGTTCTAAGAAAAAAAAATGCTTACTGCATTATTGTACCTATTTGTTTCCCAAACAGAAAAGAACAGCCCTGATTTTCTAGGACCAGAGGTTTTTGCACATTCACACCCCTGCTAGTGATGGCAATCGTTGTATGAATGACTGTTGCAGTTAGGCTCACAGAGTTTTAGCTGCGTTTCTGTAAATGAATACCACGTCTTTTTTGTTTGGCCAGTTACACGTTCCTCTATAACCTGCATGTAAAGGTACACTGTAGCTTTTCTCCTCTTCTTTATCTGTGCTGTGTGTAAATATAGAGAGAGACTTCTTTTTTTTTTTTTTTTAAGAGGGCTCCAGGATGGTTTCTATAGTAACTAAATTAGCAATTAATTCACCAGGAGAAAAAACAATCCCAAAACATTGCTTTGTATAGTAGGGCACTTTTTTAATATATTCCAATTTCATGACACTATTAGTAAAACAAAGTTAAACTTTGTGCACAGATGATGGGTATTCATCAGTCTGTGGGTGGATGGTGATTGTGGAAGAAGCATTTTGATGGTTGAGCCAGTGTACCAGTAACATCTCCATATGGTTTGATGTACAGTATTTGTATTTTCCTGGCACATCTTCTGTGGTAATAATAATTTGTTGTAACAAAGATCTTGATGTCCATCTTTGGTAACTGTTCCCCACATACGAAAGCTGTGCATGCACACAATATACTATAATGCACACATTCATGTGCATGAAGTCTTGCTGCAGACTGTTGAGGATAATTGTTCTATTTTTAATTCCAAAAGAAATGCAGTATGTTTATTCTCTGCTGTATCCCTGAAGCTCTTCATTCTGTGGTCTGAGTAAGCAGGGTCAAATTAAGGTAGCAGCATCCACTGGGAGCCAGAAGCTGAGAGACAGCAGTGATTTCACTTTAATTTGCCATTGTCCATACCAGGTGTGACTGGGCACTGGCAGGAGACCTCTGCTATGCAGAACTGCAAGTTCTGGACGCTGGGCAGTTGAAGAATAAAGTCTAAGTTTGGTGCTGCAAGTTTCTAGAGGTAGTTCTTATTACAGCATGGTGATAACCAGGGGAC